CCCTTGTCAGGAGAGCGAAGGTCTGGTAAATCGAAGGGGGTCAGTGAGGGGGCCCCGTACCCGAAAAAAGGTGAGGGAAAAAGCCCCCGGCAATAGGTACAGAGGCATGAGGGGAAGGGCTGAAAAGGGTCCAAAGACGAGGCGGGGTTTAGAACGGGGGGTGCGGTTTCAAGAAGGGGCCCGGGGGGGGCCCGGTTCATGGACTTGGGCCCGCCATGGGTTTGGTTTTCTTTTTTTCTTTTTGTTTTTTAAAAAAAAAAAAAGAAAAAAAGGAAAAGAAAATAAAAAAAAAAAAAGAAAAAAAAAGGGGGGGCCGGGGGGGATTTTCCTAGGAGGGAAAGAAAAAGGGGCCCGGAAAACTCCCCCCGCGCCCCAAAAGGACTCGAAAACCGTAGTTGCGCAGATCAGCCCTGGAACCCGTTTCCAACCCTACCCTTTTATTTTTTTTCCCCGGGAAAACCCGCAATCTGGGATAGCAACCTCACTTCTGCCAGCTACCCGGGGGGGGCAAAGAGAAAAGGGGGGCCGGATATCCGCCCCCAAAGGGATTCCCCCTTCAGCCACCCCCCCGGAATCCCAAAGGGGGCTTCCCGAGATACAAACCCGGGCCCCAAAAACCCCAAAAAACTCCGGGTACCGGGAGGGATCGGGACATCCCTAGGCAATCCAGATTCCACGGCCAAAATACGCCACCCCCCAAGAAACCCCAACGGTTGGGGGTCCCCCCCCCCGGGGTCCTTTCCTTACCTAGGAAAAAAGCGTGCCTGGGGGGGAAATCCCAAAGGGGCAAAAAAGGGGGAAGGGAAAAAGGGAGGGGTGGGGAGGAGGGGGGAAAGGAAAAAAGGGGGAGGATGGGGGGGGGTTTGGGGTTGGGGGGGGGGAAAATTGGGGGGGTAATTAGGTTCGGTTTTGAGGGAAAAGACCGTTTTTTCTAATTCCTCAGGGCCAAGGCCTTTTTCACCAAACGCCAAGGAGCCCCCCTTGGAAGGGACTTCCCACAATTTGCTTTGGGGGTTTTCCCTTTTTATTTTTTGGGTTTATGAAGGGGGCCCCGGGGTTGGTTTCTTGCTTAATTTTCAACCCCACCCAAAAGGGCGGGGAAATTTTCTTTTGGACAGGGGTCCCGGGGTTAGGAACCTGAACCTTCCTCCTTTTGCTCCAGGGGGGGGGTATTCCAAAATTAAACCCGGGGGGAAAAAGGGGGCCACAACCCAACCCAACCCCCCTCCCCCTCCCCCCCCCCCGCCGCCCCTCCCTTTTTCTCCCCTCCCTCCCCCTTTTCTTCTCCCTTCTTTTTTATCCTCCTCTCTCCTTTCCCCTCTCTCCCCCACCCCTCTCCTCTCTCTCTCCTTTTCTCCTCTCTTTTCTCCCCCCCTCTCTCTCTTTTCCCTCTCCCTCTCTCTTTTTCTCTCTTTCCCCTCCCCTCTCCCCTTTTCCCCCTCTCCTCTCCTCTCTCTCCTCTTTTTCCCCTCTCTCTCTCCCCCTCTCTCCTCTTCTCTCTCTCCCCTCTCTTCCTCTCTCTTTCTCCCCTCCCCTCTCCTCTCTCTCTCCCCTCCTTCCCCTCTCTCCCCCTCTCTCTCCCCTCCTCTCCCCTCTTTCCCCCCCCTCTCTCTTCTTCCCCCCTCCCCTTTCCCCTCTCCTTCCCCCTCTCTCTCCTCTCTCTCTCTTCCTCTCCCCTCTCTCCCTCTCCTCCCTCTCTCTCCCTTTTCTCCCCTCTCTCTCCTCTCTCTCTCTCCCCTCCCCTCTCTCTCCTCTCCTTCTCCCTCTCCTCTCCCCTCTCACCTCTCCTTTTTTTTTATTTTTAAAAACATTTTTACCCCCAATTAAGGGTCCCCACTTTTTCTCAAAATTTTAATTAAAACCCCAAATTTTTACAATCCCCAATTCTGGGAAACCACAATTAACTCCTTTTTTTTTTTTTTTTTTAAAACAAAAGGGGAAAAAGTTAAGGACCCATCTTTTTGGGCCGATTTTCATTTAAAAAGGAAACCTTAAATTATTTGGGGCTAAAATGTTCCAAATCGTTTATTTGGGTTTTTTTTTTAAGAAATCTAGGGGAAAGGGTGAAGTTTTGGGATTGGGGGACGCCAGATAATTTCGTTTCTCCCCTTTTGAAAAATTTTTTAAAAAAAGGCCAAGGTTTCCCCCTGGGTTTTTTTTGGGGGAAGTTTTGGAATCCCTTTCTCTTCCCCCTCTCCCCTCTTCTAAAATTTTCCCTTCCCCTTTTCCCCCCCTTTTCTCCCCCTCCCTCTCTTCTCCCCTCTCCCCTTTTCCCTTCCCCCCTCTCTCTCCCCCCCCCTCCTTTTTTCCCCCTCTCCTCTCTTCCTCTCCTCCCCTCTCTCCCTCTCCCTCTCTTCCCCCTTCCTCTCCCCTTTCTCTTCTCCTCTCCTTTCTCTTGTTCTCCCTCCCTCCCCTCCTCTCTCTTTTTTCTCTCTCCCCTCCTCTCCCCCTCTTGTTCTCTCTTTTCTCCTCTTTCCCCCCTCTTGTTCTCTCTCTCTCCTCTCCCTCCTTGTTCTTCTCCCCCCTCTCCTCTCTTGTTCTCTCTCTCTCTTCCTCTCCTCTCTCTTGTTCTCCCCTTTCTCTCTCCCCCTCCTCTCTCCCGTTCTCTCTCTCTCTCTCTCCTCTCCTTCCCCCTCTGTTCTCTCTCCCCTCTCTTTTCTGTTCTCCTCTTCCCCTTTTTTCTCTCTTTCCCCTTTTCTCCTCTCCTCTCTCTTCTCTCTCCCCGCTGTTTCCTCTCGCTGTTCTCTCTCCGCGTTTCCCCTCTCTCTTTTCCGTTTTTCCCCTTTTCTTCTCTCTCCTTTTTTTCTTCTTACTCTCTTTTCTAAACTCTCCTCTCTCTTTTTCTATCTCTCCTCCTTCCCCCTCTCCCCTTTGATACAAAACTGAGAACTTAACAATATACCAAAAAACACAAACCTTTCATAGAAATAAAAAAATTTAGAGAAATTTAAATGGAAAAAATCAATAAAAAAATCAAATAATAATAAATTTAAAAAAAACAAATTCCTTTAGGAGGAAAGGGTGCAAAGCCCATGTCGGGCTGCTAGCTGCCCAATCATATTTTTTGATTCCTGCCACGTCCCCACACCCTCCCTCTTAACCCCCCAACCAGCAGCCAGCCCCCCAGTTGTGGGGGTTAGCAAGGCTCGTTGGTGGGGAAGGGGTTTTTAAAGGCATGCAGGGGGCGAGGCGAGGGGGGAAAATGGATGAAGAACTGCCAAATGGGCCTAAATGAAAAGAGTTGGAAATAAAAGGGGATAAAATACGACACAAAGGCAAAAAAACACAAAATGCAGTATAATGTGATCCTTTATTGACTAAAGTTTCCCCCCAAAACCAAAGGGGGGTTTTTTTAATTTCTGTTTTTACTTTTAAAAAGCCCAAATGTGTGGGCCCAAAAGTAGTCAAAAAAGGATCAAATTATTCTCATTTGTTTTATTTGCCAAAGAAAAGAGTTGTTGGAGATTGTGCAGGCAGAGAGTGAGGATGAAGAAGAGGAGAGTGTTGCTGAGGCCAATCAACCTCAAGCCCTCACCCTTGAAAAACTAGGGCAAGTGATGAGAATGACAGCACAGCTCAAGTAAGTTTTTTACAACAGACCCATCGATGTTGAGGTCTTTGAAGTTGATGAATGACAATGATAGGAGCATAATTCCCAATGACAGTGATAGAAGCATAATTCCCAACAAAACTCTGTTTGTAGATATGAAGAGGAAATGGTCTCAGTAGCCCATCACAATGTTCTTCACAAGGAAGCCTACCACTACTCCTGTTGCTGACTCTGACTCTAGCGATGTCGATGAGCCACTGTCTATTATCGGCAGTAACACTGGCAGTGAAGAGTTAGAATCTACACACTAGACTCATCATGCCATGCAGTTACACTCCATATAATCACCTCCATTCAACTGTCATCAGTAACTGCATGGCTATCATCACCATCATCATCGTCACTGTCATCATCATAAGTCATCAGAGTTTGTCTGCCTAACCTTACAAGTGGTGAGTGTTTTGTTTGTTCATTATTTGTTATTAAACCCTAACATACATGTATATACAATACATGTATTTTATGATGTTTTCATGTGTTTTATGATTGTTTATGGTTCAATAGGTTAAGGAAGCAGTATTGTTAGGCTAAGTAAATGCTATTATTTTATTTCCCTACAATATATTTGTGCACCAAACATTCACGAATTTTCAACACTTGCAAAGCTCTTCATCCCCTAACCCTCGCGAATGTGGAGGGCCAACTGTACTCATCAAATGACAACAACAAAAAAAAAAAATAATGAATTAGTGCTCAAAGTTTGAGGACCTTGCAAAGAAGTGTTATGTATTAAAAAATCACAGAAACTTCATAACAGAAAACCAACTTAGGCAGAAATATGTAATAAGCTAAATGACTTGTTGCAAATCAAATTTATTAATTTCTCTAATTTTTTTTAATATGCTGGCCATCTCCTACCAAGGCAGGGTGACCACATAAGAACACTTTCACCATCATTCACACACTGTTTTGTCATGTGTGTTGTATAAGCTGACTAAAATGGCAAAACAATGAGCTAGTAACCCCTTCTGTACAGATTACTAAAAATAAGAATGATTGTTTATATTTAACATTAATTAAATGAAGGAAAGTCAGACAAGAAACAAGGCTGAGTTAAGAATACAACTGAGCTCTACTGAAACAAACTACAAGCATTAATTGGAATATTTATATAAATTTGAATAGCAAGGTTAAAAGTGGTCAATTATTGTTTTTGCTAATGTTGTTTGACACATCATAAATTCCAAGTATCACTACTAAAGATAACTTAAAATTTTCTAATTTTTAAAAATTACTTACATTTCTTTTTTTTCTTACTAATTAAAAGATCAACTAGTCTTAAAAGGATACATCCTTCAAGCATAGTCCAACTTGGACTAATACCAAAGTACTCAAAGGTCTAGCTACAAAACAAGAACGTAAGTACCTGAGAGTATACCTTCGGACTGACCTGCTGCAATGCAGTGATGTATGCTGACTGCAAGCCTTGTGCTGGTACTCCACCTGTGATGGCTTGAATGGCATTTTGAATATTAAGGTTTGACACTGCTGTTGCAGCAGCTGTGTTTGTTGATGTGCCACGAGCAGTGACGGTTTGGACCTGAGTGGACGACTGTGCTACAGCTGCTGCAAGATTACCTTGATTCTTCAGCAAAGTGTTGGTGTCAATAATGATTACATTTGGATCCTTTGACTTTAACTGTGAAAAATATATAATTTCAGTAAACATACAAAAAAAAAAACTTTTTGAAAATATACATAATACATTTTAAAAACTACAGATGCTTACCCTAGCCTACATACTGTCAATTAAATGCACACAGTATGCAATGGCTGGTGGATTACACTTAACTTCCAAAATATGAATTCAATGTACAAGTACAGTGCATGATTCACCATTTTTTATTTGTAATGTTTGTGGTTTATCCACTTTTAGTAGTGCAGCTCTTCTACCTGTGTAGCCTGGCCTCAGGCCAGGTGTTCTTTCAATATATGTATACTGTAATACAATTGCAGACAGGCAATCTTAATGCAAGACAAGCCACAGGAGATGGAAATCTTCAGTTCAAGATCTTTCACATGTCTCTGTGCATCACTCTGAAAAAAAAAACTCATTTCACCTATTGCTACTCTTGCAACACTGCAAAGCTCCTAACGATGCACAGAGACATGTGAAAGTTCTTCAGCTGAAGATTTCCATCCCCTGTGGCTTGTCTTGCATATATATATGTGTGTACTGTATATAACAGAAACCATCACTGACGTTTTTTTCTACTCTCACAGCCCCACCAGGGGACAGGCTATTCTACTGACTGACTCTACAAGCAGACTGTTACTGTTAGAAGCCTTCTAGTCCATACACATATCATGGCCTATGATCCAGCATTTTGCAGAGACTGTGATTCAGTTTCCTCTTGAAGACTTCTCCACTTGATCTGGCAATATTTCAGATACCTGCTGGAAGTAGGTTGAATAATCTTTAAGCACAGATGGTGACACATTTTCACACTGTGCCCATGGCACCCCTACTTTTTTTTTTCTTTGAACACCCCAGCCATCTCCTACCAAGGTAGGGCGACTCAAAAAAAATATAAAATTCACCCACTCACTGTCTTACCAGAAGCATGCTACGTCAGTTGTGATAACCCTTTGAGCTACAGCATCCTCATCCCTCTTGGAGTGTAGGTACTATACTCCCCACCTCGATGACACACACAGTTAACCCCTATCCTCCCATCCTCCCTCCCTCCCTCCTTCCTTCCATCCCAGGTTTACAAACACCTAACATATTTTCCTCTGTGGCAATATCTCCAAAAGTGCCAAACCATCTCCAACAACTTTTGATATACCTTTGAAGAGTTTCAAGGGTTTCTCTACTCTTTGAGGCCAGGCTCATCTATAACCTCTATTCAGCCCTCTAATTACTTTTGGTAATCCCACGCCTTTTTCTAATCTCCATGCTCTCAATTCTCTGCATAATACTCACACCATACATTGACCTCAAACATGACATCACTGCTTCCAACTTCCTCTTTGCTGCAACATTTAAATCCCATGCTTAACACCCATATAACAGAGTTGGTACCACATACTACTTTTCTCTACAGATGCCTCGATGCACCATACACCCTTTTTTCCCCCCCTTGTCTATTCTAAAGTTCATCTAGTATGGGTCTTTCACAGACCCATCTTCCAACTAATCCACCCCAAATATAATACAGTATACAGTAGAACCCCCATATCCACTGATACAGTATCCACGGTTTCAATTAACCACGGCTTACTGTGGCCCAAAAATATAGTGGTACCTCAAGTTTCGAACAGCTCCCAACTCAAACAATTATGTAAGTGTATTTTTGTAAGTGCTTTTGTAAGTGTATTTTTAGGGGTCTGAAATGGACTACAGTGGTCCCTCGATAATCGTCGGGCTCGACAGTCGTCCTTTTCGGAAATCGTCGCGTTATTTTCGTCCAAACAATGGCTTGCAAATAGTCGGTTGACTCGCTAATCGTCGTTCGTCCTGGACGCATACTCACGGCTCTGAGCCGCCTCGGCCTCCCTTCCCAGCTAGTGTGCCATTGTTTACCAGTGAGCGACGGTCCCCTTACTTGTTCATACGAAATATTTCATAGTACAGTGGACCCCCGGGTTAACGATATTTTTTCACTCCAGAAGTATGTTCAGGTGCCAGTACTGACCGAATTTGTTCCCATAAGGAATATTGTGAAGTAGATTAGTCCATTTCAGACCCCCAAACATACACGTACAAACGCACTTACATAAATACACTTACATAATTGGTCGCATTCGGAGGTGATCGTTATGCGGGGGTCCACTGTATTCCATTCATTTTAGTGCTTGCAAGTGCTAAATAAGCTACCATGGCTCCAAAGAAAGCTCATAGTGCCAAGCCTTTGGTAAAGGTGAGAAATACGATTGAATTTAAGAAAAACATCATTGAACAATATGAAAGTGGCGTATGTGTGGCCAAACTGGCCAGGATGTATAACAAATCTCGTACAACCATATCTTCCATCGTGGCCAAGAAAATCAAGGAAGCTGTTGTTGCAAAGGGGGTAAATATGCTGACAAAAATGAGATCACCAGTACTCGAAGATGTTGAGAAGTTATTATTGGTGTGGATAAACGAGAAACAATTAGCAGGAGATAGTCTTATGACATCGATTATTTGTGAAAAGGCTAGGCAGTTGCATGATGATCTGGTAAAGAAATTGCCTGCAACGAGTACTGATATTTGTGAATTTAAGGCCAGCAAAGGTTAGTTTGAGAGATTTAAGAAGAGTAGTGGTATACACAGTGTGATAAGGCATGGTGAGGCTGCCAGTTCGGACAAAATTGCAGCTACAAAATTCATAAGTGAATTCAAGGAGTACATAGAGGCTGAAGGACTGAAACCTGAACAAGTGTTCAATTGTGACGAAACAGGCCTCTTTTGGAAGAAAATGCGAAAGAGGACCTACATTACTCAGGAGGAAAAGGGACTGCCAGGACACAGGCCTATGAAAGACAGGCTGACACTTATGTTCTGTGCTAATGCTAGTGGGGATTTCAAAGTGAAGCCGTTACTAGTGTACCATTCTGAAAATCCCAGTGTGTTCAAAAAAAAAAACAATGTTATGAAGAGTAAATTGTGTGTGTTTTGGAGATCTAATAATAAGGCATGGGTCACGAGGGAAATTTTCGTCGAGTGGTTCAATGAAGTGTTTGGCCCTAGTGTGAAGAATTACCTCCTGGAAAAGAAATTGGATCTCAAGTGCCTCCTAGTAATGAACAATGCACCTGCTCATCCTCTAAACTTGGATGACCTAATTCTGCAGGAGGTTGGGTTCATCACAGTAAAGTTCTTGCCCCCAAATACCACTCCTCTCCTCCAGCCCATGGACCAGCAGGTCATTTCAAACTTTAAAAAACTCTACACCAAAGCATTGTTTCAAAGGTGCTTTAATGTGACCTCAGACACTCACTTGACCCGAAGAGATTTTTGGAAAAAACACTTCAGTATCCTCCATTGCATAAGCCTTATAGGTAAGGATTGGGAGGGAGTGACTACCAGGACTTTGAACTCTGCTTGGAGAAAATTGTGGCCAGATTGTGTCCACAAGAGGGATTTTGAAGGGTTTGTGGCTGACTCTGATGAGCCTATGTCACTTGTGAACTCTATTGTGGCATTGGGGAGTTCCATGGGGTTGGATGTGAGTTTGGAGGATGTGGAAGAGTTGGTGGAGGACCACAACGAAGAGCTAACCACTGAGGAGCTGCAAGAGCTTCAGCAGGAACAGTAACAGATCGCAGCTCAGAATCTTGCTGCAGAGGAGGAGGAACAGAGATGGAAGAAGATGCCTTCTTCAGAAATTAAGGAGATTTTTGAAATGTGGGGTAGGATGGAAAGATTTATGGAGAAACATCACCCTGAGAAGGATGTTGCAAGCCATATCGGCAACTTGTACAGTGACAGAGTCTTGGCCCATTTTAGGGAAGTTTTAAAGAGACGCCAGAAACAGAGCTCTCTGGACACTTTTTTTGTGAGACAGGACTCCAATGACTCTCAAGCTGGTCCTAGTGGCATTAAAAAACAGAGAAGAGAAGTAACCCCAGAAAAGGACTTGGTACCTGAGGTGTTGATGGAAGGGGATTCCCCTTCCAAACAGTAACTAATCCAATCTCTCTCCTCCTCCAGTCTTCCATACACTAAGAAGAATCGCCAATAAAGGTAAGTGTTATGCTGGAAATCTAAAAACATATGCAGTATAATGTGATCCTTTATTGACAACGTTTCACCCACACAGTGGGCTTTTTCAAGTCACACACAGATCTACCTGGGGTGGAAGGTACGGGAGTATTTATAGTCATGTTCAGAATGTTGAGGTCAGGTGGAGAATGCTGCATCTGATGATCTACCGGGTGGAGTTATAGAGTCTTGGGTAGCTTGGCAGGGGTATTGGACAAGTTGTGAGTAGACCTTCTGCAGTGTTCTATGTTCTTATGTGGGATAGCGATGAAGAAGTTTCTTGACGAGTGGTTCAGCTATGTTATAGAAGCCGTTGTTCTGGTTGAAATTGTTGGTTATAGAGATAAGCGATGATTCCAGGATTCTTCGGTATTGAGTGTTGTCTTCTGTGGCGATAAGTCTTGAGTTTCTGTAGTTAATTAAATGGTTGTGTGAATTGCGATGTTGTACACAGGCATTCCTTGTATCGCCAGTCCTGCTTGCATATTGGTGTTCTGAAATACGTGTTTGGAGGTCTCTTGATGTTAGCCCTCCCCACCAACTCCACTGCCAAACATGTTTCCAACATCTTTTCCAATACATCATTCCAAGTATCTACCTCCACAACCATGACCATCAAGGACATCACTAGTAGTAGACAGGACAAGCCTCCATCCTCTGCAGGGGTATACATAATCCCTTGTAATGACTGCAACAAATTATATGTGGGCGAAACATCAAGAGACCTCCAAACACGTATTTCAGAACACCAATATGCAAGCAGGACTGACGATACAAGGAATGCCTGTGTACAACATCGCAATTCACACAACCATTTAATTAACTACAGAAACTCAAGACTTATCGCCACAGAAGACAACACTCAATACCGAAGAATCCTGGAATCATCGCTTATCTCTATAACCAACAATTTCAACCAGAACAACGGCTTCTATAACATAGCTGAACCA